TCAACAGCTTTCCAACAAATCTTAAATCACCTTATTCCGATGTCGGATGAGAAAATTACAGCCAAAACACTGAAAAGAAAATTCCAGAATCTGTGAGTTTACAGTGTAGTCGACTACTATGCCTTATAGTCGACTACTAAGCAATTTTCTGACTTCACAGAGTCTGTTTAGACTCAGTGTAGTCGATTACTATGACTTGTAGTCGACTACAGATGCAGTTTTTCCAGATTTTAAGTTTTAAATAAGTGACTGTTTATAGCCATTTTGTGGACGTTAATTGGGTTTAAAATTATGTCATTTCAGAGGCTATAAATAGGTTTAAATATCAGAAAACAATAAAAAAGTTTTACACTTATAAGATTCACATATTGTGCAAATTATCTCTCTAAACTTTTAGTTTTTCAATCTATTTTTCTATAAAAGAGAGTTTCTGATATTGCCTTTGTTCCTATCATTCTTAGAGCTTGTTTAGGCAATATTCAGAGAGTTAAAAAGATTGATAAGCCATTGTTATACATTCACATCTATATCAAGGTTTATAGGATTGGAATTGTACATTGCTTCAAAGAAAGGTTCTCTCGGTTTATGAGAGGGGTTGATCTCTCGGTCTAGAGATCGATGTGACGATTGGCATGGTCTTGTCAATTGGGTTTGCAATTTGCATGGTCTTGCAAATTGGTCAGGTTTGCTTTTGATTTTGTAAGGTTTCAAAATCATAGTGAAAATCTCAAGCGGGATTTGCTTGGGGACTGGATGTACACCAGGGAGGTGGAACCAGTATACATGCTTGTGTTTGTGATGTTTATTTTCTAAAATTGCCATTCTTTCTTTGCAATTTATAATCTACTTTGCAAACTCACACTCTAGTGTTTAAGTGTAAAGCTTCCGCAGATTTTTATAAGAGCGCACTCTATTCTTAAGGGTCACGATCCTACACTTGGTATACATAAGCAAAATAGGACCCTACAGCAACATATTAAAATATTTATCTGCCATTCCACTAAGAGACTTTATACGCAAAAGACGTAGCATAAATGATAACCTGGTGAACTCGGTGCAACGCTCGTACAGATCATTTTCATTATCGTCTATTAATTTCATTATCTGCGCCAGATCCTCATGATCAGTCACGCCTCCAGTATTTCCTGACTCGTCAGCATCCTCAGCATAATCAGATTGATCTATATTAGGAACTGTTAACATATCTGCGAGCATCGTATGTGTATCGTCTATTCTCGTATCATCTATTCTCCCATCGGAAGTACCGGTATCCACCATCAGTTCCATTTCTTCAAGACATCATTCCCCATGAAACGTCCAATATTTGTACTCCTCATGAAATCCTGATATTAAGTGTTTCTGTAAATCACTTTTATCCACCAACGCCCTATTTTTACACCAACAGCAGGGACAATACACGACATCACTATTTAACTTCCGTGGGTTTGCCAAGACGTACTATATGAATTGATTTATTCCATCTTTATATCGACTATCCCTCCATCTATCAATACGAGGAATATCGATCCATGATTTGTTGGGAACTATCCTCATAGATCTGTATGATATTAAGCATAATTAGGTAATGTGAATTTTTATTAGTAACGCATCAAATTAAAGGTTGCGTGATATTAACTTTCTTCACGACATCAAGGAAATTTTAATTATAATAATCTCGGAGGGAAAATTACCAGAACATAAATTATATGGGAGTAAAATCTAACGCTCATATTTGAAAAAAGAAAATTTAACGGCTGTCATAGGAAATGGACCTATCCCATTAGGAATATAGTAGTGTCTACAACTACCTTTATATACTTTAAGCGTTTTTATTTCTTAAAAATTTCGGCAGCACCTACCCACAGTTCTCCGAGTACACTGTGCGGATGTTATAATGCGTATCAATCATCGATAATAGATCGATTATAAATCGATACGTAAAACAACATACGCTTATTGTACACGGAGAACAATGCGGTACGTGTTATCAAAATTTTTAAAGGAATAAAAATGCATAAAGTATACAAAGATAGATAATACACTACTGTATTCCTAACCTGTACGAGAAGGGGACTCCTCCCCAGACAGATCTAATAATTATTGCATATATATCATGCTCCTAACATAAATCACGTTATTCTCTTTAGATGTAAAAAGTATTTTCACATCCAACTAGAATTACGTGAGTTTATATCAGAAGAGATTCACATCCAACATTATTAGATGGGAAACTAGGGGTAACGACTTTCGATTCATAAATCATGATATATAACATATGCAATTGACTTTAGCAACCTTTTTAGTATTATTGAAATATTTACTTCTACAAAAGCTACATACAAATTTAACTAAAGTTCCTCTGTGCGCCCACCACTGCTGTGATAGTTAATAAGTGTACATTATTAGACATGCATGGATTTAACATTGAAAAAGATTCTACTACAAGCCTAAGCTAGGTTCTTACGTGCATCTTTAAGATAAACACTATCAAGTTATTTGGTTGTTTTTTGAAGAGAGTGCAACAGTTTAATTTTTCCCACTAGGAGATGAAAAGTAACTCCGACATCTTCCTCTTAGAGTTGTGCAATTTTAAGTGATAAAAAAGATTAGACCAGTGCTCTAAATATTGCTAAGTCGTGGTGCTCAGGGCCCAAGGGCTGGATTCAACAGTCAGAAGCTTTGGATCATGGTAAGTGCTTGGCCTAAAAGCACCAAGAAATCCCATTTTTTAATTGTCAAAGATAAATGAACCTATTACTATATAAACCCTATATTCCACGCTAATCCCAAGCATTGGTTTCACCCCCACTTCACCCCCTCTAGTTAATGCTATCTCATGTCAGATGTCCCGCTTTCAGCACCAATTTTTGGCTTACCCTCTCTATCTCACTTGACATCCCTCTAGACTGTCGCAGTCCTCTCTCTTTTTTTTTCTTCCTCTCAATACCTTCTGTGGTTCTCTTCTTACAGGTTCAACTCGCAATCTTATTTTTCATGGGTTATCTCACTGCTACATGACTTCATCACATCATCATAGAGGATCTTATGACCTCTCTCTACCATCTACCACTATTTGGTGGCAACTTCAGGCATTTCTTTAGAATTCATTTTTAATCAAGTTAAGTAATTATTAGAGTAAACCCTAACTCGCCTGATTCAGAGATCTAATGTAAACAACGTACAATTCCTCGAAATCAAGTTAAGTAATTTCAATGATTGAGGGACCTAATAGAAATTTTAATGATCTAAGTGACAAATAATACCTTGAGTGACTGCAGCGGTGAAGTCACGGCGGCGGTGGACGCGGCGGCGGCGGCGGCGGCGGCCAAAGGGAGAGAAGCGACTGCTGTCGTGGAGGCAGAGGTCGTGGGCGTCGCTGTCGTGGAGGCGGAGGTCGTCGACGTCGCTGTCGTGGAGCGGAGGTCGTCGGCGTCGCTGTCGTGGAGCGGAGGTCGACGCTGGAACTGGAGGCGGAGGTCCTTTTGGGGGTAGTGTTCGTGGAGAGGGAGAGAGAGGAGATTTGGGAGCGGAGAGGTTGGGGGAGGCGAAGCTGAGGGAGCGGGCCGGGGTTTCTTCGATGGGAAATGTCCGAACTGAGAGCGGCGGCTAGGGCAAATTAACAGCGATAATAAAATTTTTGGAGGGATAAATCCCCCCAAAAATAATTCAACATCGCTGACGGGATCCCGTCAGCGATGATGGACCACCTGTCAGCGATTTAAACATCGCTGACGGGAAGGTTACAATGCCGACGGCTACATCCTTGACGGCTCTTGCCGTCAGGGATATAAACAACGCCGACGGCAAGCTCCCGTCAGGGATGTTGTCAGCGATACTACGAATTCTACTAGTGTATATTACAAATTGATCTCATTTCTCTAGAGTCTAACTTGACTCAAGGTATGTTTAGTTAAGAGTGGCTAGAATCCCATGTTATTGAATTAAGGTTAAAATTCAGAGTGTACGTTCCAAAAGCGAGAGTTGGAATTATACTATGTTATAAGACCATTTGTTGTTTCAACTTATCCTAACTAAACACACATTTAAATGTGACATGATCCCTTTTTTTTCCTTTCCTTTCCAATGAAACAAATATATAATATATCATCTTGATGAGATCCTACTTCTTTAGCGTCCCAAATACTTAAGTAGATTGCTTTAATTTTCTCATCGATTAGTTATTATTTACTCAAAATTAACAAGATGCCAAAAGGAGGCTATCCATATAGATTTTCTAATTGAAAGATGAAGAAAAAGATAACACTAGTTTCCTATGATCACCCTTTATCAAATTTAATAAAATAAACCAATTTTATCAGTACTGAAGCAAGACTCTAATCATAATTAAAAGGGGCTAAAGGATAGAGATCATTTTTTATTATGTGGTAACTGCACTGCAATTACTCAACTTTCACCGTCTATTCTGAGGGATAAAATGTGACCGCATAGGACTCCAGTTCTATCTTGAAAATTTATTATTTTGTTTGCAACTCACTATTATGAAAACCATTTGTGATAGTGAGAATTCTATGCATTTAAAAAACTTTAGGATATACGAGTTTAAATTTTAAAAACTGCTGCCAAAATAAATGAGTCTATATAAGTGCGAAGGGAAACTATAGGATATTTAAGTGCAATCAAGCCATTTCTAATAGCCAAACGATGTTTTATGCAGAAGTTCAGCTCAAGAATATACAAAATGTATATGTCGTGCATGCGCCGCGTGGTCAGTTTACTAGTATTTTAGCGAAGAGAAACAGCAGTTGAACCCTTGTCAGCTGTCAAATATCAGCTGTTTGGCTATATACACGAAAAATGTCAGCAATCCAATCATCATCATCCATTTCATTCCAATTTCCACGTGTCGTAATTTCATTGGATACACCTTTAATTGGTGAGCTGTTCACATCAGCTCAATCGCACGTGTTAGCACGTGTCACATATTTTAATTCCTACTTACATCCAGGGGCCTGGATCTAAATTTACGTTCATATAAACAGAGAGCTCGCGGTTCTTTTAACAAAGTTCTCTCCACCTCCTTAGGTTGTTAGAACCGTGAATCATTTGCAGAGCTAGGGTTTTCTTTCTCGATCCAAGGCTCTCGAATCGAATCGAATCGATTGATCCTTGAGAGATGACGAGAGATCAGGAAAGCTGGATCCTAATGGCGACGGCGAGAGCTCCGACGAACATCGCCGTGATCAAATACTGGGGGAAGCGAGACGAGACCCTAATTTTACCAATCAATGACAGTATAAGCGTCACTCTAGATCCGGATCATCTATCCGCGACCACGACCGTCGCAATTAGCCCTAGATTCGACAGCGATCGGATGTGGTTGAATGGAAAGGTTTGATCTTTTCCTGATTTTATAATTTAATTTATCTTTTTATGTTTCCTAGGTTCATTTTTAGGGGAATGCAGGAGATTTCGCTCAGTGGAGGGAGGTATCAGAATTGTTTGAGGGAGATTAGGAGTAGGGCTGAAGATTTTGAGGATGAGAAGAAGGGGGTTAAGATTAGGAAGGAAGATTGGGGAAATTTTCATGTTCACATTGCGTCGTATAATAATTTCCCGACAGCAGCTGGATTGGCTTCCTCGGCTGCGGGTTTCGCTTGCCTTGGTAAGGAAAAAAATTCAACTTTACTCCTTTTTCAGTTCTTATTAAGTGGGTTATATATGGCTGTGGTGAACTCGTTAGGGGTTTATTACTATTTTTTTTGGTCCTATGGATCTTAAAAAATGTTGGCTTACATCAATATAAACTGTCAATATTTGCTTATTTGCGACCAATATGTAAATAGTTGCAAAATAGAGAATTCCAGTATAAATAGCAGCTCGAGTTGGTTCCTAAGCGTAGTATTGATTTCTCTTTAGAGCATGTTTGGATTGGGGTTAATGTGAGGTAAGGGAAGGTAGGGGACACATTAACCCTGTTTGGGAATGCAATTAAGGTAGATAATGGGGGAAGTTAAGGTAACTGAGGGGAAAATTTTGAAATTTTGTTCCCCCTTAAATTGGGATGTAATGGAAGGGAAGGAAACTATTGAAAAAAAAAGAATATTACAAAGAGACAATTTTACTCTACTATCAAGATGATATCGAAATGGGTGAAATAACATGTAAGGCTATTTATGCAAATTTACATGTACTCCCTTGCCTTCCCTTCACTTGATTAAAGTTACCAAATTGGGTGAAATAAGTTCTCCATGGCTCCTTGCTAAATTCCCAAACAAGTTTTGTATGTTACCGTAATTTTCCTTAACTTATCATATGTTCACTTAACTTTCCCTTCACAAGGGGCAAATCCGAACAGGCTCTAAACCAACCGAGGTGCAGATTCACGCGTTGCAATATTCTTGAATGAAAAGCGTTTCCGTGAGCAATTTTATCATACTGATCTCCATGTTTGATTAGATAATAAATCATTAACTTGTAGATTTGTTAAATTTGCCCAGAATAATATTTGTTTCTAGCAACGTGCATTTTGCTTTGAAATGCTTAACTTATTCTGTCATGATCAAAACTTAATACAATGATAGCCAATCGATGTGGAAATATAGTAATGCAGCTTCTTCAGTTAGCAAGGTGGACACCTTAATTTAGGTTAAACATATTCTCGAAAGGAACTGAAGGAAATTTGGATCCTTTTGCAGCTATCAAGAAAATTGGTAACTGAATTAATTGGGCAGGGTCAAGTGTTAAAGTCAAAATTCATCACGTTACATAGTAGAATTATCATGGTCTATTTACTGTTAACAGCGAAAGCAACCCAAAATTAGAACATGTTTTCAAGGTGAATTTCTATTAGCTTTAGGATTGCGCATATTAGTTAATTGGTTCTTCTAGAGGTCACGCATTGTGGGTCAATACGAGTGTGGAATGCGGTTTTGAGCCACAACAAGAGAAAATTCTATTGATTTTTCGTTGAGACAAGATAGGAGGAGTTGTTTATGTGGTAGATAGTGTTGAGGCTCCTTCATTGGCTCTATACTTTTAGCTGGATATGCTAACAATTACTGAATTTATTTGTATGGAAGGATTAAATTGACATGGGTGATTTCATGAGAACACTATGTGAATTTGTTGGGATTTTTAACTTCTTTTTCGAAGATCATTAACATTTTAGTTAACACCTTTGGTACTCTATTTGCAAAACTTCATTCCCATCTGCATAATAACCTCACTACTTATATGATAAGGTTATTGACTCAATCTAATTAATCTAATTACTGAAGCTATCATTGCAACTTACTCCCTCACTTTTATTCCACCTGCAGTCTAGGTTCATTCATCTCTTGAGTAAGAATGTGAGTAGATTGAAGATGAGTAGGTATTTCTTCAGGTCCTACTGCATGTTAACAATACTTGATTACACCAATAGTACGAAAATAAAGTTGTCTATAAACTCCTTAAGTACAAAGTTCTTATTCTCCTTCCTCTTCATGTAAATTATGTATTTATGTTTTATGTGAATAAATACCATGGGCATCTACACCGATATCGGAGGGCGGGGGGGGGGGGGGGGGGGGGGGGGGGGGGGGGAGGGGTGGGGGGGGGGGGAGGCGCTGGCCATGGTCAGTTAATCTATTGGTTGATTAGGAATTGTGAAATCTATACAATGCTGTAATTGTCCCTTCTCTGTTGTTAATTACAACTTCAGAAAAAATTATCGAAGACATTTCTAATTGGAAATTTATCCTAGGCAATTTGTGCAGATCTGAATAATTAAAGATAATTTTATGCAGATATGCTTTTGAGTTATCTCTTATCTACAGATCTAACATAATTATTGCATAATTCAACTGAATTGTAAGTTAGAAAAACATAATAATAGTAACAAAAAGTATTAGAAAACCATGTATATGTGCTAAACATTGTTAATCATAATTTTAATCCAATACTTCCTGTTTGCAGTTTATTCCCTTGCAAAGTTAATGAATGTGAAGGATGATCATGGCTCTCTCTCCGCTATTGCAAGGTTAGGTTTTTAATCTCTTTGAAATCTTTATCTCAAGCATGCACACTCTTTTCCTAGCATCTAATCTGCTGATTTATGCATGACTTTGCATTTCGGTGATTCATTCTTTGTGTTATATGTACTTTCATACCAAAGCTAAATGTATTATCTATTTCATTTCAATATGTTTGCTTTTATACTTGGAGGAAGTAAATTTGATCTTATCCCGGTATTTTACATTGTAATCATAAATCACAGGCAAGGTTCAGGCAGTGCATGTCGCAGCTTATATGGTGGATTTGTCAAATGGAAAATGGGAAGTGTAAGTTCATGAAGAGATGATTGAAGTTTTGGGATATTATTTTGGCAATTGTGAATATAGTAGAACCCCTTTTTTTTCTTTTTCTTTTCCATTTTATCAAGCACACTAGTCAATTGAAGTAGAGTATTTCTAAACCTCAGGATGTGAATGGGAGCGACAGCTTAGCAGTTCAACTCACTAGTGATACACACTGGAAAGACCTAGTTATTATCATAGCAGTGGTATGTGGAAGATCAATATTCCTTTTTATCTAGCGTGTGATATCTGCATTAACTTTTCTTGCTTTATAATTCTCGTTTCATTGCCCTATAGATGTTTTCCCAATATTTTTTCCAGTTTATATTCTACACTTCTTTTATCAGCAAACAAAATTTTCAATCTTCATATGGGGTCTGTTTTTGGGACATAACCGCAATCAATAAGCTTCTTTAAGAGGATAAAGATTGTCATAAATCACCGATTTCATGAACTGACTCTCATCTAGCATCAATGCTCTTCAAATTGGCGCCAACCTTCTGGTGGAAGCAACCTAGGCCAAGGAAGGGCCATGTCAGGAAACCTTTTGTTCGTAACTTTCAAGTTGGGAAATCTGTTTAAAAGTCTTCAGAGGCTTAAGTAACAATTTTCTTTGTACTCAAGTGGCTAACTATGAACTTCTGATGAAAAAGTTTGTTTTCTATACTTCTACATAGTCTATTCTCTACTTTTGAAGTTGGCTGATCATGGTTTTGTGGTGTCACAATGAACCTTGGAGTTCAATAGCAACTGACTGAGAAGACCATCCAATCGTCTTTAGCATCTTTAGCAATGCGGCAGCAAGATGCAGTTTATAATGGTTGTTTTATGCCATGGCCCAATCCTCAAGAGGGCCACAATCTTTCGACAAAGGAATTTCTCTATTTTCTGCCATTATATAATAAGTTCTTGTCATTGGTGCTTGTCTAGGGCTTATTTTCATAAGCTTGATCATTGGCATCTTGAATTTGCACTGGATCAAATAGACTGATTTGTCACTTTTATTTTGTTGATTATTTATTTTAATAGCTCCAGCAAAACTTTTTACATGGCCCTTTTATGTTAACATGTAGCTATGGTGGCTTATTTTGCCCACAATCAACTTTCAGATAGATGCTGACAGCTATGCTTCCTTCCGTCATGTTTTAGCGTCAGTGATTATCAAAGTTCTGACATATTAATTGTTGAGTCAAATTCATTGTGTTTCAGGTAAGTTCACGGCAGAAAGAAACAAGTAGCACCACGGGTATGCGTGAGAGTGTCGAGACCAGTCCTCTATTAGAGCACAGGGCCAAGGTAGTCCCCTTCTCTCTCATGCCAAACTTTTGTTCAAATCAAATCATGTGGCCATCTTTTGCCTATATATTTTATTTACTCAGAATCAGTTTCAATTTTCTTTGGTTTTCCACACTGGCATTTGAGAAAAGTTACGGTCTTCTGGGCACTGAGAATTTGTAGTAGACCATGTAATCCCTACATGTGAAAAAAATGTCGATGCGAGCATGTCTGGTTAATTGATTCTCTCGTTTTTGTTCACTGACAGGTTATAGTCCCTAGTCGAATAGTGCAAATGGAAGAAGCAATTAAAAACCGCGATTTTAAATCTTTTGCACAGTTGACCTGTGCAGATAGTAATCAGTTTCATGCAGTCTGTTTGGATACTAGCCCTCCTATATTCTACATGAATGACACATCTCACAGGTATTATCTCCTTGGTAGTTATTGCAGCTTAGTTTCTGATATTCATAATTTCTTTATGCATCTAGCTTGTTGATAATTTAAAACATTCATCTGACTTTATTGCATTTCTTACTAAGAAATATGACTCTTGCAAACAAACTGCATCAGGATAATCAGCCCAGGTATGATTTAAGGCTGTTGTGCTATCTGCAAAAATGTTAATTATCATTTGCATCAGAGTGGGTTAACAGCTTACCTTATTGATTGCCATGCTGAAACTTTGAAGCATTGTGATTCTTTGTTGAGGGGATTATTTCATGATAAGTAATTAATTTGTCTAAGCCCATGATTTGTATTTATAATGTCAAAAGGCACAACATACTGCCATCATATATATGATTTTTTAGGCAAATTGAAGTCTACAAATTTGCAACCGTAGGGCATGGCTGGACACGCATTCCATGCCCAAATATGTTGGACATGCCAATTTCTTGCTGGGAAGTATCTTACATATCATAGAAGTTACAACAGAGGAAAAAAGCAACATTGACGCACATAGATGAGCCAACATCTTAGCTGTTTGAATTAACATATCGTCAGAATGTTCTGTCGTAGATGTCCATTGCAACATAATTGAGAAGAATATAACATGGGTTACATGACAGGTAGCTTACACCTTTGATGCCGGGCCAAATGCTGTCATGATTGCACCTAATAGAAAAATTGCTTCTCTTTTGCTTCAAAGGTTGCTGTTTTTCTTTCCACCACCTCCTGACACTGAATTGAACAGGTAGGTACTGGTACTAGATATCATATCATATCATAGAAGTTGCAACAGAGGAAAAAACAACATTGACACGCATAGATGAACCAACATCTTAACCGTTTTACTTTTCAGTTATGTACTAGGAGACAAATCAATACTGCATGAAGCTGGGGTGGAATCAGTAAAGGATATTGAAGCCTTGCAGCCTCCTCCTGAAATAAAGGATAAACTCCCTCAAAGATCTGCAGGTGATCTTAGCTACTTCATATGCACTAGGTCTGGAAGAGGTCCTACAGTACTTAGTGAAGAAGAACATTCTCTGATTAGTTCTGAAACTGGGCTTCCAAAGTGATTCATATTAGAAGGTTGAGCTTAATGCGTAATTGTTATTGTTGTTATTTCTTTCCATCTGTTCGATGAATAAATTTATAAGTTTTGCAGTAGACCATCTAGTTCTTTGTTGAGGCATGACCAGGGTGTTTTAACATTATTTTGTGTTCTCTAGTCGCATTGTCCTTTGTTGTATCTTTTGAGCGGTTAAAATTGATCTGTAAGCACTTTTTTTCTTGTTGTTGATAGGGTATTTGATATTTTATGCTGTCTTTTCCTCTACTTGTTCCAAATTATAATATCTGCTGCTGCTACTTATTTTGATGATTCATCATGTATTTAACTTGAAACACAGATAGTTGTTTACCTGTGTTTTCGCCTTTACATTCTACTGACTAGAATCTGTATACAAGAAAGGGACAACTCTGGAAATAAATTTTTTTTCATCACCCAATAAAAGCTGCTATCTGGGAATTGTTAACTGTGCATACATGAGAAATCCAAGAGAATGGAAATTTTGCCCCCCGCCCCTGAATTTTGTAAACCCTAAAATTTCATAGGCATTCACATCAGAAAGACCCAGAACTCCCTGGATTTGATACCAGGTTTTCTTTGTTGTTGGCATTCCTTTTGAGCTCAATGTAAGGATCTGCAAAGTTATAAATATATCACCATGTTGCTTTTGTCATAGAGCTTGAATATCGAAGCAACACCATGCATTCTTTTTACCCCAGCATCTATTTTAGAAAATTAAGGTTGTAAGTGGTCATGGTTTTGTGTTAACAATTACCTCTTATAATGCTTTAGATAGATAAATATAGCTTTTTTTCAATCAGCCTTAGCGCCTTTATATTTTTTCCTATTTATTCATGTCCATATAGAAAACATGATACTTATTTACATGGACAGTTGTTTATCTGGTCATGGTTTTGTGTGAGCAATTACATCTTGTAATGCTTTAGATAAATATAGCTTTTTTCAATCAGCCTTAGCGCCTTTATTTTGTTTCCCCCCTATTTATTCATGTCCATATAACTCTCTTATCCAAATTCAAATAACTCTCTTATCCAAAATCTTAGATAAATGAATTAGACAATGCATCAAGCAAATTCTGTGTTTTACTCTCATGTGTTGTTAATCCGTGTTGGAAGTCCTCCAGCTAAGCGCGGTTCACATGGAAAGGTAAAATAGATGAGGGTAAACTAATATATCTTAAAATGTCGATGTTGAGGTTTGAACTTGGAACCTGATTACTGTCCTTGCCACTACATCAGAACTCCAAAGTGATGACCAGAGTTGACAAGTGTGTTTTTGATGTTGTGACTATTCACTTCTTTTTTTTTTCTTGTAGTATTATATATTGTTAAATTCACCTGAAAGGTGTAACATCTTGTATATAAAATATGAATTTTCCTAAAATATTGAAAGGTGACCAAGGCAATGAAGAGGCAAGTTCAGAATAAAGAAGCATGACTCCGTTATAAAAAATTAACTGGTATGTATTAATGCATGAATGTCTGTATCAATTGACCTTAAAATGCTTTATTTCATAAAATTTCTTCACTCGATACAGGAACCAAAGATGAGTTTGTCTAACTCATAACATTAAACGTAGTTCTTCACTATGTAGCAGTTGGCATCTGTCCACGTAGAAGCGATCCTAGTATTGCATCACTCCACTCTTTTGTCCAGAAGAATAGATGTCCTCCTTTAGGATTCTCATGATACTGTATCCATGGAAGCTTCTTTACAAGGAATCGCTGTAAATCAACAGGGATTAGCCTATCATCATATCCTTGCCAAATATGCACACTACCTTCATCATCAGGAAATGGATTGCTTATGTTCATAGGATCAAACTCCCAGTTTCCGAATCCGACCATCAGATCTCGATGAAGAGACTCGTGCACTCCTTGCTGCCGAGGTTTGTTCAGAAACTGTTTGGTTGCAGATACCATTAGTATGTGATCATGTAGGTTATGAAATGTATCGATGCACAAGCATTAAATGCAAAAAAAGGAAAGGAGGAGAACCACAGAAAATTTGAACTTTTCATTTCGTAAGTATAGGATGGCTACCATCTGATCCCCAAGCTGCTTGATTTGATATTTGCGTTCCTTGGTAAGTACAATTCTGTAACTTATTATGTTTAAGATTATTTGCACTTAAATACTGCATGATTTACGCCATTTTTAATTTTGATACCCTGAAGCAGTGAAGCTTCTTTTTATGCTGAAAAGATACCCCTAAGTTCAAAATAAATAAATAAATGATATTGCTTTTATACCCATGTCATATCATATTAGGGTATCAAAGTAATTTCTTTCTAAGTTCGGGGTATTTTTCGAGGGGAAATACTTTGGGGTGTCAAAGTTAAAAAATAATGTAAACTTTAGGGTATTCAAGTTTATAGTGCATTTACTGGCCTTCATTGCAAGAGTAGAAGATAGGTCCATTCTTGCTGGAAAGCTAGAGAGGAGGGTGCCAGTCTTTGGTAGCAAGTTCAACTAAAGTCTCATTTTAATTTCAATACGAGCGACCTCTAACTTCGGATGCATGCATTTCTTATCCTAATCTCTTAGTGTACTTTTCACATCCATTGTAGCATTTTCATTTCTGTTACATTCACTTTATTTTGACATGTTTCCTAATTCCAAGCTGCTATTAAACTTGAATTTAGATAATCAAACTTCTTCCTTACCAAAAATATTCCAACAGAAAGAATCGATAGGAGATCTAGAAACCATAATAAACGTAGACAGAGGGAAGTAAGCAATTCAAAGAAGCCTATCAATGTGAATAAATCTCAAACGCATATCATAAAGTAAAAGCAATACCCCATTTTCTTCGGCATATGCTGCCATCTTTTGCCTGATCTCTTTATCATCCCCACTGAATATGTGTGGGTGTCCCTCAACAACTGACAGTTTAGGGATCCATTTCTGAGTCATCCACCCACATAAAAGCGATGGAGCATTATGCGCTATCCAGAATGTTATTTGATCCTGTACTAATAAGTTTCTGTATACTCGTTTTGATAGATTTGCAGGAAATGAGGGCCACCAGTAGTTGATAACGGGTACAACCAGAGCTGCTCCTGCTAATCTGCAAACATTTGATCTTTGTTAGGATATCGATATGCAAACATCACCCAAAGGGATGAGTTAATTAACAATATGAAATTTGTTCTATTATTAATTTTTTTTTAATTATGTCCAATGTTCAGTTGCTGGTATTATTATGGATGGATATTTGAAGCTGGGATGTATGAAGAAGTTAAGGCTGTGGGAAATGTTCTCTGATACTTCGGTTGCAATGAAATAGGAGAATTCTGGCAGAACAGGAGCTAGACTCTTCTCAGAATGTGAATTTAGATTGAATTGGAGATGTTTGTCACTTGATGACATTTGGATCAAGTCCGTATCTTGTGGTTCAAAATGTTTGGTTGTTGACATGTGCAAAGCAAACATTGTGAATTTAGCGGAATTGAGAATGTTAAGGCTCATATGTAATAAAACTGCAGGGAACAAGAGTGACCAATGAATGACACATGACATCTTTTAATGAAGGATTAATTACATCCGGTGGCATGTGGTATGTAACTTATCCTGGGGTTTGTGTTAGGGCTGTCCAAACGGGTCGGTCTGGATTTTTGGGTCCAGGCCGGGTAAAATGCCTAGCCCGAACCCGGACCCGGGGTTCTTGGGCCGGGCCCCTGTCCTGGTCCGGGCCAAACCGGGCCGGGCTCCAGGACGATCTGGATTTTTTGTATTTTTTAAAAATTTAATTAAAAATTAAATTATTATTATTATTATATTTATATAAGTATGTATTAGTATATACTTAAATATTAGTATATAGCTATATATTATATGCAAGTATATATACATTAATCATATCTGGTTTTATTTTTATTTTTTGAGCCTGTACTGGCAGCGCTATCCGCAATTACCCCTTTGTTCGAGAATCATCTATAACAACAGAGTATTGAAGATTTTCAAAAGCACCAAAAGGACGTGTAGCCTTCACAAATTAATCCCAAGAACCGCAAAGATATATTCTGATCTTCTACGTACCTGTGAGGTATGTATTTGAGACAGCTCCACGCCGGATACCCTCCCATAGAAAACCCAATCACATAAAACTTCAACCCGATATCCAACCTATCCGCAAGTTCTTCAATATCCGTAGCCTCACTTTTGGCATCTCGCTTCGGGTTTGGATCACTGTCTCCATAACCCGCTCTATCAAACGACAGAAAGTACACCCCGAGTTCACACACCAGCTCCTGCACGCAAAACCAAAAACATATTTCATATACACGGTCAAAACCCCCTTCATCAATTCATATTACACGACGATGTATGTGCTAACTTTTTTACTGTAACCTGAGATGCGGGTAATATGAGCTCTTTGCAGTTGTCGAAGCCGTGAACGAGGATGATCTTGTGCTTGGCCTTGTTCTTTGGAGTTCCTGATTCTTTGTAGGCAAGAAACCTGCCGTCGCTTAGCTGAATTCTCGGAGAAGTGATTGGAGGGCCATTGGGAGAGCCACAGAGTTTTGGTGGCGGTGGTTGAATCGCTTGATAACCCCATCCTGCAAGAACTGCTAAAGCTGTGACTGTTAATGTAGCAATAAGCATCTCTGCAGGAGAGAGACGGAGAGAGAGAGAGAGAGAAAGAGTTTTGTAGAAAGATAATTGAATTAAGTTTCGTGAGAAAGTTACAGGAAAGTAGGGATGGATGCTTACTCTTTTGCGATAAGGTACTTATTGTTCAACGTGTCGTGCACATGCCTCGTAGATGCCAAAATAAATAAATAAATAAATAAATAAATAAAGTATTGTGGTTGCATTTTTTTAATAATGGGGTTTTTCAATATTTGTCCCTTATGTTATAGGTAGGTTGACACTTGGTCCCTCAAGTCTTTATACTTCTATATTACTCCTCCAAACTACCTTATGTTGGTATTAGTCCCTCTGGTTAGTTGGTGTTAAATTAGATGGGGGAGAATATTTTGCTTTCTTTTAACTTTTTTGAACTGACAATTATACCCTTCTCATCTCTCCCCATCGTCTCCCCATCGACCTCTCTCCTCTTTGCGCTTGACCCCTCCTCTCCGCCCTCTCCCTCCTCTATTGAGCCCACTCCAATGTGGTAGTGGTGACGTTACCAATGAAGGTGTTGATGGTGGCGGTGGCGATGATGGATCGAGGATGTGAGAATACCGGTGGAGAAGGAGATGGAGGATGAGGTGAGAATACTTGTGGAGGGGGGAATGGTAGTGGAAGAGGTAGGAGGTAAGAGAGGGGTGCGTAATAAGATAATTTCCCACTCATGGTTAGCATTAACCCAATTATCCACTCATGGTTAGAGTTAACCCAATTATGGTTTGAGGTTTAAACAGTAAATCTAGCAGAAGGACTAATATCAACACGTCAAAATAATTTGGGGAACTAATATTAAAACATGAAGAGTTTAGGGACTAATATCAAAATACTTATATGTAAGGGAGTAAGATCTAAAAATTAAAAAAAACCATTAATAATTAGTGTTTGTTTTAAACGCAAATGCTATGAAGAGTGGACCACAAAAGGCAACATCATTAGCTGTGACACGGACATTTGTAAGTTACTTGCTTCCTACCTACGTTATTGGTGGATCTGAACAAGCTGAAAAAATGATGCTTGTAACACTTCTAATGATAGTGGTATTTTTGGGGGTGATTTCAACAAAATATTTACAATAATTTTTTAATATAAAATAGTTTAATAAAGATTCTAAACTTGAATTCAAGTCATACGAATTTACTAACAAAGTACTGAAGAGAGAAAAGTGATCCTCCTTTCGAGTTCCATGAAGTTACTAGCAAGTAATTAATAAAGAGCGAAAAAGTATTCATAAATCACACGAACACAAAAAGTATCAATACGTCACATGAACTATAACCTATCTAAGGTTATACTAAAGTAGCAATAAATTGTATGGCAATAACATATGTTAGATTGAAATGGCGAACATTATATTAATATAGTGTATGTCACACTAAAACAGTGTTTCACTGCTCTATTTCACGATGTTATGCTAAAAAAGAAAAGAAAAAAAACTCTGTTACATTGCATAATGCATTATTTTGCATTATCTAGCACATTTTTCTCCAACGGTGATTTACAGTACTCAAACTCAAGAACCTCGAATGGAAACAAGAAAGTTTGATGCTCTGAAACTACGCTGCCGCTTAAAAGTGCACCCACAAATGGATCGCCCAACATTACGAAGAACAAAGCAAACATCTCATTGAACACAGTTTCTGAAACTAGAAAGAAAAGAAGAAAACTCTTTTGTGCTACCGATCTCCACCAACAAGCGTCTTCACTATGGTATCACTCATACCGTCAGCTAAAGGAAACAAATGTCCAGCATTTTGGATCTCATGATAGTGAACCCAAGGGAGCTTCTGGCTTATGCAACGCGAGAGAGATACAGAAACCATCAGATCTTCAGTGCCGTGCCATAAGTGAACCGAACCTTCATTGTTTGGAAATGGGTTGTTTAGGTCCATGCTCCTGTACACACAGGACATGATGCCATGCTCTTGTACCTCCTTTGCCCATACTCTACGCAGTCCAATGCTCCTACCCCCTATGACTTCTTCCGAGCTCATTTTTGAGCTGTCCCGCAGGGCACCCCCCCTCCCCTCCCTCCTCTCTCTCTTGGCTATAAATAGAAGGGAGGTTGAGAGGAGAAAGTGTGGGGAAAATAAGTGGGCTGTGTAGAGTTCTTTTGGAAGAAAAGAAAGAGAGGAAGAGAGAACATGTATAAGTTTGGTATTTTTTCTTCATAGTGAAACCCCCTCCCGTGGACGTAAGCTAGTTAGCCGAACCACGTAAATCTCGTGTTTGTATTTGTCTTATCTGTGAGTTGCCATAGCTTGTAGGTTCCCTCGATATTTCAGTCCTAGAACTGATGAGAGGAAGAATGTATATTTCACTTTGATGAAATATATCACTTTCAATTCTTGTTTCCTTTGAGAAATAAGAATTTCACTATCTATTCTAGTTTTCTTTGAGAAACAAGAATATAGAGGTTGACTTGTGCTTTTGTGCAACAAAAGTCAGGGTTATCTCTCAGGTGATATCGCTTCCGCGGCGTGAGGACGTGACTCTGCGCCTAACAATTGGTATCAGAGCCCTTATTCAGATTGGCGGTGGTTGAGCTACTGATCTGAGGTGGTGGTTGATTATTGTGTGGTAAAACACAAGATATTTGTTGAAATTCCTGAGAGAAGCAGACAAGCGGAGAATGGCGTCTACAAGTAAAATAATTAAAGTTGGAAAGTACGAGATTGAAAAATTCAATGGGAAAAATGATTTTTCCTATTGGAGGATGCAGATAAAAAACTCGTTGATTTCGCAGAAATTACACAAAGCCTTGGCGGGAAAAGAGAAGAAGCACAAGGATATGTCTGATGAGGATTGAGAAGAGTTGGATCTGGAAGCACGGGCGTCGATTATCCTTTGCCTTGAAAGGGATGTAGCTTTCTTGGTGGACAAGGAGGAAACGAATGCGGGCGTGTGGTTAAAGTTAGAGAGCACCTTCATGACGAAGAGTCTAACGAACTGGATCTATTTAAAATCCAAATTGTATACTTACAAGATGGAGGAGGGTCCATCAATCCGGGAATACATCAACAAGTTCGATAGGATCTGATCGGATTTGAAAGACATTGAGGTGACAGTGGAAGTCGAGGATCATGCACTTCTACTACTTCTATCTCTACCGAAGTCTTATGAGAATCTGGTTCAAACACCGATGCTTATTGTAGGCTGTCTAAAAATCATAATAGATAGCTGATCCTCATCAAACACCGATGATGGAAGTTACACTCTGACGACTTCCAGGAGGTTACAATTTGAAGACTTTCACGTAGATCGCTAAATGTTACAATCTGACGACCTTCACGACAACTGATGGAAGCTCTAATCAAACATCCTTCATAGTCAACATCGGGAGTTACAATTTGACGACTCTCACATATCAGAGAGCTAAAGCAAAGATTACAAAATGACGATCTTTGCAACGCTTCGACAGAAAGAGACTACAAATCGACGGTCTCTTCAAATCAAGCTGCGGAAGTCCTCCCCGCACACCAGCATCAATATGCGCCGCGTTCATAGCCACGAACGCAGCTCAAACGCAGCTCCAATCGCTGCCAAGCACAGCTCAAACGCAGCTCCAATCGCTGCCAAACGCAACTCTGAACGCAACTCAAATCAGCTCTGAACGCAACTCAAATCAGCTTCTGGACGCAGCTCAAATCAGCCTCTGAACGCGGCTCAGATCAGCAGCTGAACGCAGCTCAGATCAGCAGCTGAACGCAGCTTCAACCGCTGCCAGACGCAGCTCCAGCTGACTTCGAACGCAGTTCTATACTGCTGCCAAACGCACCTTCAAACATAGAAGAACGCAGCTCAATATCGCTGCAGAACGCACCTCCAGATGTTGCGTTCAGACACAGAATTCATGCCAGAACGCGGATCTGCGTTTGACTCGTTCAAACACGAGCTGAACGGTTCCAAAACCGTTTCCCACGATCTGAGGGGATCACAACTCCACTCAGGAGTGATTTAAGGGGCGGTTACATCCCATTAGCCCCACTTAGGAGCGAATTAAGGAGGTGGTTACACCCCTTAATCCCCTATAAATAACAACAAACTCAACAGAGTTAAAGATCGGATTTTTGATAATCAGATCAGGGCTGGATCTTTCGGGTGCGGTCTGTTGGGACTACTTGGCAGCGAAAAGAGGATCCTTCATCCTTCGGTTGGAGCTTTGGAGATCGGCAACAAGATCTTCTTCATCCTTGGCTTATAACCGACTTTCGGTTAAATCAACTCTTTCATAGAGTTTCAAACTCGTTCAGAGTTCTCCACAACGTCAAATCGTGAGGAGAAGACCACGTTCCAGTGAAACAAGACGTCGGATCGTCAACGAGAAGCAAACTCGACGCGAGCATTCGAGGGAGGCATCTCATCGCCACCGTGAAGAACCCAGAATTAAACAAAGGGGAGAATCCAGATCATTCTCCTCTCTTTTGTAATCAGGAAATCCAATTGTAACTGAGATTAAAGGAATACAAATCAATTTTCCTTCATTTCTTTTTATTACAAATTTTCCACAAACACTCTTATTGACTCGATTAGAATAAGACACGATGATGTTTGCCAAGTTGACACGACTCACACTCTAATGAGGAAAGAGATTTGAACTGAGGATTTAGAAGCTTGAGAACAGAGAGAGAGGGATGCCCTAGCTGACAGTGTCATTGTAGAGCTGATGAGTTTCTGATACAAGCTAAATGTTTGGAGCCCAAGTCCAATTTATAATGACCATTCTGCTCATATCCCGTTCCAATCATTTTCCTCGTGACAAGATCCTGAAAAACACAATGTATGGGGAAGAATGTCACAGTACAATTTAGTAATTTAGTTATCTTACTAATAGATAAAAGGTTATAGGAAAAACTAAAAAGATAGAATACGGAGGAAAGGGGAAGACTATGGGTAGGATTGGTGTTGCCAACACCCTGAACATGTGTACGTGAACCGCGACCTTCGTGTTTCAAGTGCCAAACGCGATCTTCGTGCCAAACGCGACCTTCGCGTTTCAAGTGCCAAACGCGACCTTCGTGTATCAAGTGCCAAACGCGACCCTCGC